GCAAAGTTGATACGGGTGCACGTCGTACGTCGTATTGTTGCGTCAAGTCATACAGCGGGAAGTGTGCTACGTCGACTCATTCGGTCGACTCGCCAACTTTGGTCATCCATTAGTCGCTAAACTTTTTAAACGAATCTAAAACATACGTCAGTGATGCACGTAGTTACTGACCATTAAGATATTTGGAACACATGCGACTCGCAGAGGTTTCGCATGAAACTGTAAAATTCCGACGCAAACCCGCGCAAACCAGGAAGTACTAGGTCAAAAAAAAAAAAAAAAAAAAAAGAGAAAGAGTTCACGGACAACGCTTTAAATACCACCTTGAAACAGGAGCGTTTTGCATTTCGAGAGTTATTTCGCGCGAATAGTAGAACGAGGTGCCGGAATCGTTATCGTTGATTACAATTGCAAAGTTGGGAGGAGTCCGGCCGAGACAGGACCAGGAAGGAAGGAAGGAAACGACGAGAAGGGAACTCGGTGGCCGAATGCTCTCGGATACGCGCACGATGCCGAACTACGACTACTGCGAGACGGTGGCGAATCTTTTGTAATGTAGATCGCAGGACGATTTTAACGACGGTTATACCCCCTCGAAAGTGTGATAAACAGTTTGCGTTCACCATCATGATACATACATAACGGCTCGAGGCGATCCCTTCGTGCCCGCCCATGGCCGACTTCGGGTTCGGGACAGAGCGACGCGATCTGGCGCAACATAAATTGCCAGCTCGTATATACTTGAACATTCTTCCATGGCCGGGTATTATAAAAGTTCTCGCGAAACTTTATCAATTTTACGGATACGCCACGTGTACTAGGAAAAAAAGAAACGAGAGCTCGTTTACCATCCTTCTCTCTCTCTCTCTCTCTCTTTCTCTCTTACCTTCCGCTCGCTTTGATCGCTTTCACGTATATATACGCGAGCACACGTGTACGTACGTTTTGTATTTTTATATAACTACGTACGAGCGATCCGATTTCTTCTCGTTTGCACCAACAAGATATTATCGGTTATAAGATGTAACGCTTTGAAAAATTGCTAATTTAATTCTGATTTTTATCAAAGATCAAAGAATCGAAAAAAATGATCGATGATATAGAATGCATACGTCCGTGTATTAAATGTTGTAAATTTACAAAACAGTGATAGCTTCGTTGCTTCGTGTTGCACGAGTTACAAGTATCCGCTTTCATCGGAAGAAAGGTAGAAGTTACTTAAGGTGGCAGAGCGAAGAAATTCTCTCGTCTCGGCAACGACGGCAACCTTGAAAAATTGATACCGTAGGCTTCGTCTCGACTAGGCTTTATCGGAGTAACGGGCAACTAAACGTACCATTTTATTGGATCCTACGCTCCGGTACGCTGCGAATACCGAAGTGCTGTTGGCTGTGCGTGAATCTCAATCGTGGAAGCAGTCTGGCGAAACAAAATAGGTTTCTCGTCTACCGTGTAACTCGCCAGCTTACTTCGAGATTCGCTCGACCGACACACAATCCCGTGATACCAAAAGTTGGAGGCACAGCGTTGTCCAACAACAAACATGGCGGGATTGTTGATCCATGTTTGCTCCTTCAGCGTGTAGCAGCATGCGTAGTTATAATATCTGTAGCATCCGGTGCATAGTTATGCAGAGTACCTGGTTTAACGTCGCCACGAAATTTAGAGCTTCTTTTTACGCGAACACAAAACAGTGCTTAGGCAGAAGTTTGTTTACGGATGTAAATTTCGTTGCATAAGTTACAGGTACTTGTACAAGCGTGAAACGTTGGCAATTAATAATCAGGCTTCACTAAATCACTTGAAAATGTTGAATAACTTTTATTATATAATCGCGGACAAATATATCTGAGCTGTTAAATATTAAATATAAAATTGGTACCTCATTACAGTTAATTCGCGCAATTTATCGTCAGTTTTGTTGTTGGCATTTTCGTCAAACTGCAGCGCGAAACGTACGTCACAGTGTTCAAATATCCTGTAATTTCCGTAGAAATGTACAAAGCGCGGGCAAACGCGACGTTCTCGTTACTTTAACTCCTCCCCCTCCCCCATACCTCACGTAATCGGGGGACATTGCTTGTTGCAAGCGTGAAACAAACGACGCGACTGGAAAAAAGAGCAGGTCGAGCGTAGAGTGAGGTCATTTCAAAATGAAAACCCTACGCTGAAACGCGAGACGCCGGTGATACAAGTAGAAAAAGCTGCAACCATCGCGCCATTGCCAGCCAAACGAAACAATATGGGACTTTAATTCAGGATGACGTCACCGGCGAGCGTGCAAGACCATCTAACGAAAACAAAGCAGTATTAATACGAGTATTATACTCTCTCAAGCCTGATGAAAGATAAATTATTGTAATCATTAAATTTGAATGTTGAAATTGTGCGGATAATTCATCGTTAAATAACGTTCATTTTACTAAATATTTAATGAACATTAAAGAACCATCGGGCAACTATTTGCTCGTGGACATTAATTCAATGATTCATTGGTAAT